CTGCTGAACAGCACGTTCTGCAAGGTTACAAAGTCTGTGAGAAAGCAATTAATCAGAATAGAGTTCAACTGCTACTTTTAGAGCAAACATTTTCAATTAATCTGAAGTCGTTAATTACACCTTCTCTTAATAAAGGCTCTGGTGTAATTTTCTTTTTTTTCTTCTCAGTTAATCGATTCAAACATATGCCAGAATCATGTGCTGCAGCAAACACATGCGAAAATCTAGTACTTAACTACTCTCCAGGGAAGACAAAAAGAATGGGGAAAAGGGTTTTGAACTAACACAGAAGAACAAGAACACTTCACGTGTTGTCTGACTGATGCACAGGGTAAACGTGTTGTACCAGCAATGTATATTTTACTTCAGAATAACGTGAACAACTCTGACAATAGGGGAAAAAAGCCAACGTCAAAGATGATTTTGCAACCGCTTCTCCCTCTTTAGTACTTGCACTCGGTGTGTTTGCTGCCGAGCAAGGGGGTGTTTTGCCTGGAGAAGCACCGTGCCCTGCCTTGCCACCACCTCTCTGAAAGTGCTGCTGCCCGTCTCGCCCGCTGGCCATGATCCCTGCGGCTGGTCCCACTCCCACCAGTGCTCATCTGCTCTGCTTTCCTTAGGCTTTTTAGGCTAAAAAGACAACTCAGGTATCTCAGATTTACTAACAGAGATTCTGAAGAGCTTTTTCCAAACTTCCTTCGCTTCTGTATCCAGCTACAAGGTGTGAACCTTCTGGTTTGTGTTATCTTGCTTCTCTTGTTCACCGGGGCCCTCACAGCCCTGGGAGTGACTTCATACGCCAGAAACCAGAGATTTCCCTACCTGCTTTTTAAAATGCTAAATCCCCAGGAGTTTTCCAATAGCATATTGTAGATAACCTTGTGTGAACTCATTATTTTGTGCTTTTTGTGGAAGTTAAAAAAAAAAACCTATGACAACTATGCTTTTAATCAACCTGAAATATTTGTTTAATAGGCAAAAGTAAAAAATGTTTGTCCCCCTTTTTCATTGAATTAAAGAATTTTCTTAAACATTTTCATACCCAAGAAAAGGACATCATAAAGTCAGTCATTTCAGGTTAAAAAAATAAGAGTTTGAATGAAATTATTCTTAAAAAAAAAACCAACAAACCACATTAACTTCATAGAAACATTTTTGCCTCTCATTCAAGCACGAACATTTCGGCAGAGTTGGAATGCTCTCACAAAATATTTTAGAGTTGAAAAAACAAAGCCTTTCACTGGAAACTTGTTTCACCTCAAAATTACTGCCTAGACCTGTTTTATAAATGGGCTCTTTCTTTTTTCTGTGGAATAGTGCTGAAAAAGAGGAAACCAGAGCTCCTAATAACTCCATCGTGTAACTTGGGGTTTTGACCTAGTACGACAGCAAACATACCAAGGGTGTTAATCAGCAGAAAGTGATGTGAGGAAACATGCTGAAGGTAAACCAAGAAAAAAAAAAATTGGGGGGAAAAAAGATAAGTAACTGAAGAGAGAACAGTTCATTTTTCTAATGGAGAGGAAGAAAAGGCTGAAAGGACAAGAAGGGGTAGAGTAGCTAACTCCAAAGGAAGCATATTGCAATTGTGTCATTTCTTAGACTAGGTTAATGGATACATCGAGGAACTAACTGAGATACTGGATTAAAAAAATCCTGACATTAAGGATTGGTACAATGAAGGGCTGACACGTACTGCTCAGTGACCAAAGGAGAGACTGTGCTTGGACTGCAAGCACAAAAGAGAAAAATCATACCTTCAGCACCGCCTAGACCTCCACAGTGAGAAGAGATGGCAGGTTGAGAGACACTCCCAGGTGCAAAGGAGACCAGCAGAAAAATAACTAACCAGTAGGATGCTGGGCTTGTGCTTTACATTAAAGTTTTGCAGTCATTAGCTGGCTGAGCACTGGCGTTCGGACATCTGTCCATCTGTCCATCCTTCCTCCCGTGTGCTTGCTTGCTCGCTCACCCTGCCATGGAAATTTCATGGTTTGGGGGCTTTCAATGATTTTATTTTAGTTGCTATTTTAAAGCTACCAGCTTGGCAACCCTGGACAAAAAAAAAATCACTCACACTTTGTGAGCTGCCCTGCCAGGGTTCTCCAGTCTATGGCCAAGACACCCTCAGCCAGATCCTCTGTGCCTCCGTTGAAGTCAGTGATGCCAAGAAGCGAGACAGGGGATAAGGGAGGAGTGGTCAGCCTGGTCCTTCTCACACCTGAAAGTGGTAATTGTCTTACACACACCTTTATTTTTGAAGAGGCAGAGAACCTTTGGGGCTATATTGCAGGGATTATTTAGATTTTCAAGATTAATATAGACCCTTCTTTCCCTCTCCCCCAAATGATTGCTGAGAACAGCAGAAGGCCACTGATTAATATTTCAAGGTATAAGGTCCTATAGACATCACACACATCTTTACAGCTCAAAAAAGAAAGTCAAGAAGGGCTCCTTATGCCCTGCATTTATGAATGGCTCACTCTTCCTCACTTTACTTTCAACGTCCCAGTAAGACAGGATGGAAAGCCCCAGTACAGATAAGCCAGGCATCCCGGTTCCCAGATGCCTGTGTTGGTGAGGTTCAGCCCTGCTCTGGAGAGAAGCCACTTCCCTGCCAGGAGGTGAAGGTCGCTTTTTTCTGTCTCTACCAGCATCTAAAAGCAGTCAGTCTGGGCTTAGAGCCCGTTTGGTAAACACTTCCTCCTGCTCTTACGGATGCTTGCAGTGGGACTGCACTGCAGGGAGTGGGATTGACATGTTAGAGAAGCACAAGAGGCAGGATATGACCAGGAAATCATACGCTGACTCGCTGTAAAAAGCAGAGTAAAAATCACTGCAAGAGCTGCCAGGACTCGCGTGTCTCCCTGCATGGGGAGGTCTGCAGCGGGAGCCCCTCTCCGCACTGCAGCCCGGCTCTGGGGCTGCTCCTCGAAGGTGCAGCAGCGATGCCAACAGGGATGCAACCGGCAGGAGTGCTCAGTCACACAGGAGCACATTGGGCTGGATACAAGGAAATAAAGGTATTTGCCAAAAGGCAAATGAGAACTTGCAAGAAACAGAGCAA